TTCATCCAAACTGCCAAATTTTATGACATAAAATTGTTTCGATTACTCCTTAATATTTTCTTTCTGTCTGTAAGATATGAAAGACATCTACTTTTTTATTATAGATGCTGTAACTTAGGTATGTTCTCTGTTTTTCATAATTGCCCTTGATAGGTTTTTATCAGTTTTATTTGACTTCTAACTTTGTGTTTATTTCCATTCTTTTACTTTTCTTAGACTTCATATACTTTTCTTTTTTCAGTATCTTGAGATAGAAGCTTAAATCATTGCTTTTTAACATTTTTCTTTTCTTATAAGTGCATTTACAGTCATACCCCACTAAATTAGGCATGATCTGCATCCTATGAGTTTTTTCATGCTACTTCTTTAGCAAAAGGTGGTTCAGAATGTATTTCCTTTTAATTTTCTTTTCTCGCAAATGATTTTATAGTATATTTTTGTTTGTTCCCAGTGAGTTGGAATTACTATTGATTTCTAGCTGAGTTTTATTCTGGTTAAAAACTTAATTCTTTAAGTGTGTATGTTTGCTAAGTACTCCTTTTGTGTTTGAAAAAACTAATAATTCACTTTTTCTTGATATGTTAATTATGTTGTTCAGATTATTTATAATATGTCCGAGATTTAGAATGTTTGCTCTGTCAACTACTTAAATGAGTGTATTAAAATTTCTCCTCCTGATTTATAATTTGTTTCATTTCTTCTTTTGGTGCTGTTAATTTCTTTTTACATATTTGAATGCATACAGATCGAGAACTGTCTTATTTCCTGGTGGATTTACCATATGATTATGAAAAATTCTTTTTTCTGATAATAATTCTTGTCTTAAAGTCTGTTTGTGTGATATTAAAATTGTAAGTTTACTTTCAACTTCTTTGTGTTTTAAATGCAACTCTTACAATATAGTTGAGTTTTTGTTGTTGCTGTTGTTGTTCATTTTTACCTGGTCTGACAATCTTGGTCATTTACTTGGACTATTTAGTTCAACTTATATTTATTGTAATTAATGGCATTTACCTTATTCCTGTTCTTTTTTTATTGACTCACCTGTTTGATGTCTATTTTTCTCTCCTCACTTGAATACTGTTTATTCCTTTAATGCTTCTGATATTATGCTAGGACCTAATTACTGCTTAATCCCATTTATCCTCTTCTACCGTATTAATTACTGTTACATACATTTTAATTCTTCTGTAGTTTAAACTTTGTAAGATATAATTTTCATCATCATCTTTTGTACATCAGTGTTCAATATTTACTCAAAATATTAATCTTTTCTTTTACTGAATTCATGATATTTAGCAGTTATTTTCTTTCTCTTAGAAGAACCAGTTTGTATTTAATGAGCTTCTGATTTATGGCAACACATATCTCAATGTCAAATTTTGTTTTCTCTGAAAAGTCTATCACTGTTATTTTTTTAAAAAAGATTTATTTATTTATGCATACAGAACTGGGGTATAAGCCAAAGGTACGGGATTGCGAGAGGATTCACCAGACAGGGTGGGGAGCAGAACAGGCAGACTAACAAAGTACACTGCTGAGGGGAGCAGCGGGCGAGTCAGGAGATGTCTGCCGGGCCATGTGGATCACTCCAGATTGGTGATGGAACTCCCACTGAAGTGGCTGCATCCAGCTTGCAGTGCTGCAGCCTAACCCATTGTGTCACCAGGGAGGGCCCTCACTGTTATTTTTAAACATATTTAGTGAGTATAATTGTAGATTGGCATTTATGATCTGTTACATTATTGGTGTTTGTTTTTGGGTCATCATTTTTCCTGTTGGCAAGTAACCAACCAATCTTTGGAATCTGTTTAGGTAAACAAATTTTCTGTTTCTTTGAAGGCTTTCTTTTGTCTTTTTTTGTCTTTTTTAAGCTTTTCCCCCGTGATGTACCAAAGATAGCCTTTATTGTATTTTTCCTTTTTAGGTTTATGGAACTTTGTAATCTGTATTTTGCTATCTTTCCTTTATTCCAGTAGTTATCATTATGTTTTCAAATAGCTTCATTTCCATTCTCTCTTGCTGCACTTCACAGAATATCAATTATGTGTGCATTTTACCTTTCTACAATGCTTCATATGTATTTTATAGTCTTTTTTTGTATCTCCACTTAGTTTTTACTGTTTGTTACTATTGATGTTTTACATTAACCTGTCTTTGAACTTACTTAACATTTTAACTTCCTTTTCACAATCTGATGTTAAATCCATGTTTTGAGTTCTTCACTGTTTACTTTTTTTCAGTATTTTATTACACTTCTGTCCTTTTTTTATTTCATAGATTTCAAAATTGACTGCTAAGTCCAGTTACCAAATCATATAGCATACTTTATATATCTTGATTTTTGGTTTTATAAACTTTTTATTGACATTCTAACTAATTTTTAATACTAATTCTAGAGACTGTATTAAATATCATGTTGATTCTTAAGAGAAACTTCACCTTTTCTCTGCTAGACAGTAAAGTAGAGACCAAGTAGCTAAATTTAATCAAGGACTAAGCATTGTTCACATGAGATAAAGTTCCATTCACCTTTCCAGTTTGTAGCTCTTCAGGACTTTAAGATGAAGGCCTGTGTGTATTTACTGGGACCTTCCGTCCACCTACACTTGACTTAACTTTTTTCTTCTCAATTAAAAATTAGTTTTTGTCATCTTTGTTTTAGGTTCTTAGATTTCTCCTCATGCAACTTCAGGATTCAACAAAATCAGTGGGAAGAATGTAACACATGCTAACTCCATTTTCTCAAATGGAAGTTTATTGTTTTCATATTAAAATGTAACTGAACTATATTGCAAGGGATCCACATATGTTCTATGTTCCTGTGTGAAATCAGTGAAACTAAATGTTTCATGTCAGGTAAGCCATGTGTAATTTTCAAGGAATCTGGATGTAATTCATACATAAGGGAAAGGCTGTAATATTTTCACTTAGTCCAATGATGCCTTTCCCCCCAAATCTTGTAATTACAGATAAGTAATATAATTTCTTTTTGGAAAAAGAAAACTACTCAATATGCAGAAACCATGTGATCTTGTCTTCCATGTAATTCTTCCTAAAATAGATATAAAGATCTCACCAATATCAGAATGATAAGGAATTCTTCTGGCTTGTAGGGATAGTGACTTTTTAAAAATTTATTAATCTATATTTTAATATAATAGTTTATTTTTACATAATTTTGTGCCTTTTTCCATATGAGTTGTAATCCCCATGGGCTTCTCATCACCAAATCATCCATGTGCCATCAACATAGTCCAGTGTACTTCTCCCCCTCCATTTTTGATCCCATTCCCCACTCTACCTCTGTAAAATGTCTCTGGTATATAGTTGTTCATTATTATTAATTTTTCCCCCTAGTACTTTATGCTTCTGTTATGAGTGAAACCACCTGGTATTTTTCTTTTTATTTTTGGATTATTTCACTAAGCATGATCCCTTTCAGCTCCATCCATGTTGCTGCAGAAGACACGAGTTTATCTTTTTGATCGCTAAGTAATATTCCATTGTGTATATGTACCACATCTTTTTAATCCTGTCATCTACTTTTGGGCACTTGGGTTGATTCCATATCTTTCCTATTGTAAATAAAGCAGCAATAAACATGGGTGTGCAGGTGTCTTAGAGATAGCAACATTTTTTAATGACTAGAGCCAAAAAAGCAATATGAGAAATTTCTGTCCCTGGAAAGAAAAACCATGGAGATAAAATCCCTTTATATGAAGACCAAATTGAATTACCTACTGAGCTATAGATGCTAAGTTAAAGTTAAAAGTAAATAATAAAGGTGAGGATAATTTTTTTTTTTTTAGTACATTGTAGGGTAAATAGAAATTACCAGTTTTTCCCCCTCCTACCTGCAATATATCAGCATTTGTAATTGACACCTGTGGTCTTATACGCTGAGCTGATAGTGGGCAGTTGCAGCTGGAGTGTGGTATGGGTATGCTGAGTGCGCACACGTAAGCTGGAAGACTGAGCATCACATGAGTAGCAGGAAAGGCAGAGGATCATGAGGCAGAGTGCAGCAGAGGCCAGTGAAGAAACTATGAAAGAACTGCAGAGTCCAGAAAGAGTAAATATTCCTTGGGGGCTAGGATGCCTACCAGCCTCCTGACCCCTGGCCCCCCTGCCTGCCCTGCACCTGGTCATCACACTAAAAATGGTGTGGAAAAATCATTAAAAGCCTGAAAAAGCCATTGAAGGCTCCAGGATTCTGCTTTACCTGTCTGCCCAGATCATAGAGAACCTGCCCTGTGCCTTGCTAGTACCACATACATGACAGAGAAATATAGGAAAGATTTCCAATTTGCCATGAAGTTTATCTTTCTAATTATAATGGACTCCTGTGCCTCATATCACTTTTGTTCTTAATATCTTCAAACATGTTTATCTTTAAAGTCAAGGTAATATAAGACTCTGGTACAATTCCTAATCTGTTAGCAGAAGGAATTTGAGGTTGCTAAATAACCAATTTAATGTCCAGCCAGACAATTCTAGTCTCATTGATTTCAATAGACAACCCCATCTATAATTCCCACTGATTATCCTCTAACATAACTTTTTTGACCTTCTCTTTCTCTGCAACTCATAATCCAGCCATTCTACTTGCAATTCTGCATTTAGCCCTGTACTCTTTATATCTTTAAGTATTTACTTGATCTCCTTCATTGGAATATAACCTCCCATTTTATCCAAACCCTTGGTTCTTATTTTTTCCAATATGCCTGTCTATGTTAATTTTTAGTACTGTTTCCAATGTCTATTAGATTTTCTGCTTTCTGTCAATTGTGACCTCTTCTGCCTTCAAACTGTTGGAACACTTTGCTTATGTCTCTCTTAAGGCTTTTATTATAACTTGACTTGAAGAAAAATTGTGTTCTTATGCTATCTTTATTATACAATCAGCCTTTTGAATTTCTAAGATTTCTTTTTTTTAATCCACAAGGCACATATTACAATACTAATTGGTTAATAAATATTTATCCAATTAAATATAGGTGATACGTGGCTCCCATAGGCAGTTAGCAGCACAGATGCTGTTTTCTTCCAGGCCATTTAGAGCATCCTTCTGACTCTTCACCTTCCTTTAAAGGTAAGATCCACTCAGAATAATCTCTTGATTACTCAGTATCAGTTAATTATTAATTTACTGATATTAGTGATACCCCATTATATTTAAAGTTTCTTCCTTTACACAGAGGAGAGGCATAGTTATTTGGGGGGGGGGCGTTTTAGAGTTCAACCTACCATACTTCCTTTCTACATCTTTTTAGTATATCTCACTAAAATGGTTGTCCCAGTGTCATCACTGAACTATGAGTATCACTTGGGAGTTGGTGGAAAAGGATCCATCTCAAACCTGCATTAGAAATTCTGGAACTTACCAATTTGTATTTTGACAGCCTTCCTGGTGATTTTGATACACACCAAAGTTTAAGAACCACTGCTTCACTAAATATATATATATATAAGTAACAGTGCTTTGCAGTAATTCCCTCTGTTCTCTAGTAAAAATAAAATAAAAATTATATTCTACTAGGTATATTATTCACCAGTTAATGAAGCACTTAAAAAAATATGTTCCTTTAGTTGCCATATTGGAGGATCTCCCATGGTGACTATGACTCTTTGGCAATGCATTTCCCTCTTCTTGTTACTTGTCTTGCAAGTGGAACTAGAGTAGTAATTCTGTATATAAGTTAGTTGAATTAACTGGTTCTTTGTCTATCTCTTTCCATATGTCCACCTGTTTTTAAGAGTAGTGACAACTCTGATGTTACTGTCCTTTTGTTATTTTTGCTGCTGCTCCATGTGGAATAAGTAGAGAATTTTCATGTTATACATCACACCTCCTAAGGTTGATAATAGTTGATTATTCTCAGACATTAGCACTGAAGTTGCATTTTAAAATGTGACAGAAATAGAGATCTTACTACATTTAAATAGAACCATGTTGTGATACAGGAACTAGGGTATAAAATAATACTTCATGTGTACTGATTCTTGATGATACAGGGAATGATATCGAAATACTAAATATGTCTGCACTATAACCAAATCCAAACTGCAGTGAATTGCTAAATGATTTCATTATACTTTTGTGAAACTTTCACCTTATAAATTAATCTCCAACTTGAAGTTTTCAAGATCCAGAAATACTTTACATAGCAAGTATTAAAGACATCTAGTTTCCTACCTAGAAAAGATATTTCTTTTACACTGACTTTCCTTTCCCTTGGAGTCCCAAGATAGGATTCATGAGAATACAAGTTTCTACATGTTTGGCACACTATTGAATCCTCAGGACCCAGAGGTGGTTATCTAATTCTAGAGAGGTCTTCCCATTTGTGAAAAATGAAATTGATGACTTGCCTCTATGACACACGATGATGGTTGGCTATTTTAATAGTAAGAACTAATTCCCAGCAAGAATATAGCCTATGCATTTAGTTATAGCCAACCATGTATACTGTCTACTAAACTAAATTTGTAAAAAAATTCTAAAAATATTTATTTATTTATGCATACAGAACTGAGGTACAAGCCAGAGGTGTGGGGATGATGAGAGGCTTCACCCAAGACAAAGTGAGGAGCAGAACAGGCAGATCAACGAAGTACACTGCTGAGGGGAGCAGCAGGCGGGTCAGGAGAGGTCTGCCTCGCCGTGTGGTCACCTCCGGGGCAGGTGGGGATCGAACTCATAATGAAGTGGTTTTAGCTTCTAAAATTCTAAAATATTTATTTATTTATGCATACAGAACTGAGGTACAAGCCAGAGGTGTGGGGATGATGAGAGGCTTCACCCAAGACAAAGTGAGGAGCAGAACAGGCAGATCAACGAAGTACACTGCTGAGGGGAGCAGCAGGCGGGTCAGGAGAGGTCTGCCTCGCCGTGTGGTCACCTCCGGGGCAGGCGGGGATCGAACTCATGATACAGTGGTTTTAGCTTCTTAGTGCTGCACTTTACCCTGCTGCACTACCAGGGAGGGCCCTAAGTTTATAAAATTTAATCCAATATTGTGGAAATGTATTCCACAGAGCATGTGTTTATGGACATATATCTAATAGAAACACATTTTTATTTGCTTTCTATATATTCATGTTTATTTTCAGTCATATTAAATTACTATCAATTAGTTTATATAGCACATTTTTAGTAATTAATTTAGTAATTTAATTTAAAAATTAAATAACATTTTACCCCCAGCAGGATGTTAATAGAGACAGCCTCTACGAGCCAACTGACTAGTGGGGAGAAAAGAAGATGACAAAAGCTGCATATGGGAGCTCTCAGAAATTCTAAGACAGACTCTGATTTGCTTCTCTATTTTAGAGGACAGAAAATGTAACTCAGTCCCAGAGTGTAATGGGATAAAGAATACTCCAATAAACTAGGAATACTTGTGTTCATATAATTTCTTAAATATAATTAGAAATGAGTTAAATAGTAAATTATACTACAACTTCTGAAATAAATATTTAGTATCTGTATTCACTTAATAGAAAAGATGTAGGTAGTTTTCTTTTCACAAACAAGCTTCAAGCTTCTGGTTCTATAAACAGTCTCATCAGAATGACAACTTTTACTTTAAAATAATCTACCTGAGAACTATAGTTTCCATAATGTTGCACAAAGTTTTCGAATTTCACAATGAATTGGATGAATGGAAATGAGGCTTTAAATAACATTTTATCTAGAAACTCAGAACATTTGGAAATTTATATAGTACAAATATTTATTAAAGTTAAAAGAAGCAAAGGAGTATTCAGACTCAAAGCCTGTTTTCAATTAGGAAAAAAAAGAAACCCTATGTTTCCAATAACCTTTCCCTAGATCTTTGTTTGCCCTACATCTTCCTCTGTCCAAAGAAGAGGGCACTCCAGCATGAGAAAGCCTGGTGCTCAAAAGACACCAGAGAGAGTTTTCAGTCTCTTTGAAAATGTTCCTTTTGCCTCTCAAATTGTATTAGTTTTATCTTCTCTTTAAGATATTTACTTTCATGATATTCTTTCTAAGGCTCAGAGAAAGAAAAAAAAAGGTAAACCTTTTTAGTGGCTTGCTTCAAATCAATTATTATAAATTCTTAAAAGTTTTATTTGCCTATATTAGCTCTTCCCCTGATGCTTTCTGTTTGAGCATATGGTTGGCCAGACAGGTCTCTGTGAGTTTGTCTTCTTTCCCAGTTCCTACTGATTACATGAACCTTTCCATAGTTCCTTGACTCAGTTTACTTATTTTTCAAGGTTTTTTCCCCTAAATTCTTTGCTCTTTTATTTGCCCCTTCTCTGTTCTTTTATTGAATACCTCTCTCATCAGTATTTTTTTTAATCAACTTGGGGCATTAGAATTAACTCCCCAAATTGAGGATATTTTTAAAAGAGCAAATTATAATATTTAACATCAGATTGGAATCAATATGGTTCTATAAGCAGCTATTTAAAATTAGAGTACCATCTGTAAGGATGCTGCCTACTTAAGGTAATCCTTTAAAAATGTATTATTTTTTCATATATAAAGTAATATATGAGGGCCCTCCCTAGTGGTGCAAGGAGTGAAAACATAGCACTATAAAGCTGTCCACTACAGCATGAGTTTGATTGCCAGCCAGGGAGGTGACCCACATGGCACAGCAGTCCTCTCCTGCCTGACCAGCTGCTCTCCTCAGCAGTGTGTTTTAATCTGCCTGTTCTCTTCCCAATTCTGTCTCTGGTAGAAACTCTCACTACCTCACACCTCTGGCCTATACCCCAGTTCTTGTATGTATAAAAAGGTCTAAAAGTTCATATACTTGAAACTACTATTGTTTTATATCTATTACATCTAAACAACAACAACAAAACCTTAAAATTCTTCCTGGAAAATAACAATCCTTTCCCTATCATTCTGAAGCCCCAGGAGCAGCCACATCCAGATCTTTAGTCTTCTTCTGCTTATATAGTTTCTTGACTTATGAATGCTAGGCGTATTAAATTGATATTACAGTAATTGAGGATATAGTTCTGTTACTCCTCCTCCTTCACTCCTCCTATCTTACCAACGTAAAATTTCAACTTTTGGCTAAATCAGCAGTCAATATTCACATCAGTAGAACCTTGTAGATAAACCTTTTTTATCTGTCATTCAGGTATATTTTTAATGTTTTTTGTATAACATTTTATTCTCCTTATATTAATAATTGTCTTGTTTATATTTTTATATGCTTAGTTTCTCCATATTTATCACTATTTTTCTTTAATGCTAGAATGTATCTGTCAAGCAACTGTAAAATAACTGCTCAAAACTAATCACTTCTATTTTTCACCACTCTGGAGATTTTTCCCACTATGGCTTTTGATCTTTTCAAATATGGACTTGCTATTGAGTGTTGCTGCACAGTGGTCATTCTAGAGCATACTTTGACTGACTTCTGGGATTTTTTTCAGTCCTTTATATACTCAGGTTTCCATATATATTTCCATATATTCCTTTATTTCTTATTTATTTATTTGTTTTTTGTGGAGAGGATTTTCTAGTAGTTTCCTGAGAAAGTGTACACATGGTAGGTAAATTGAGCCTTTGAAAATGCTAAAATATCAAAGGTAATTGGTAATTTGTTTTTGGTTTAATACTTTAGATTAGAAACAATTTTGCCTCCATATTTTGAAGACATTTCTCCATTGTTGTCTAGGTTTCTGTGTTGTTATTGGGAAGCTTAATGCTGTTTGACAACTATTTATAAATTGGTTTTTTTGTTTTTTTATCCTTTGCGAGAAAATTTTAGGATGTTATTCTGACGTTCCTAAATTCCACTGATGATGTGACTTGGTGTGACTGTTGTTCACTGTGCTTGTCCCCAGTCTGAAAATACTTTACATTTTCATTTTGGGATCTTTTTTGAAATACTTATTTTACACTTAACCCATTTTCTCTGTCTCTCTAGGACTTGAAGATAATTTAAGTTTCTAATCTATCACAATAGAGCTGTTTACCCCATAAGGTTAATTTATGGTAAATGGTTTTCATCACCAACTATTATTATGGAGAATGAGGCATGAGAAGAAGAAATCAAGTGGCAATCTAAAGGGTGATTTATCTTTATATAAATCTTGCTTATGATATTTTTTTAAAGTGAAGAAATTCTTGATTTTACTTTTATTGTTGGCTTTAAAGCTTTTTAAGTCATGACACTATTAATAGAACTGTTATGATATCGTTATGACTATTATTGTACTTTGGATTCCTCTTTTTAATATTAAGGCCACAATAGAATCTTTGTCTTAATATTGTTGTGAATATCTGAGTTATAACAAAAGTACTTAGACCCAACCCTGTACTTGGTGATTGCTCAGTAAATAAGAATTATCTATTCATGATCTAACTTATGTAATGCTAGTATTACCCCCATTACAGATGAAGAAACTGAGGCTTGGAGTGATTAAATTACTTATACAAGGTAACACAACTAACAAGTGGCAGGTCTGAAAACAACTTTGATCCTAAAGTTCTTTCTGTTCTGGTGTACTGCCTGCAAAGACTCTTATTATCTTCTAGTCTTTTCTTCTGCATCCCCATACAGTTCACTCACCCACACCTACACACATTAGTGTGTACTGTTAGGTTACTCAACACTAGAGATTCCCTTAAAGACATCAAATATGTTAAAGATTCTTTGTGAAGGAACAGGGATTAGAACAATGCATTTTCTACTATTCAATGACATCATTGAAAGGCTAGGGTTTGTCTCAATTAAGGTTGGGATTTTTCAGCTGTTGATGCAGTCAGTGTATGTCAGCTGATACATGTAGCATGTGTAAAGCAAGAATGGTCTCCTCTCCAGCAGAAATAAACAGGTTGGCTATCCATGTTATTTATGACACTTTCCCAAAAGAAAGTATTCCATTTGTGATTTTGCATGCTGTAAATACACTTCCCAAGTCCATCATACAAAGTCTTGTCCCACGAAGCTCTCATGAAATTAAGGCCAAGAGCTATGAGAAGCAGATACCTTCTATATAACAGAGTTTCTCCTGTCAGAGCCAGGTCTGTCTTGTGCCAAAAAATAAGAGTTGCTCTGCATAGCTGGCTACAGTGGGTTTCAGCTCTAACTTTGGAACTGACAAATTGTTTTGATAAGTTTGAGAACTTTTAGACAGGTCAGTTGAATCAGACAACTTTTGAACTAAAAAATGATAGCATAAATTGTTGTGAATAGAAAAGGATCATTGCTTTTCTCACCACTCAAATTCTATTAAAAATTTGGGTGATGGGTCATGTGTTATTCTTATGTCCTGAACATATGTTCTAGAAAGCAACTGCCTAGGGTCATCAATTTAAGATTTTGAGACTATGGATATGAGAAGTAAAACTATACAAGATTTTAAATATTCAATCTGTGTCCTTATTCTGCCTCATCCTCTTTATTACTGAAAATCCAGTTCCTCAGAACTGCTGTCATGTTTCTGAAGAATCTGGAAGCCAAAGAATCAGGCTACAGGGAAATATGTCATTTCCATAATGTATCCAGACTCTTGTCTTTAGACAAGAAAATGGATTGAGAAGATCAGCCAGATTAAATAATCAGGTCAGAACCAGAAAGAAAAGAACTATTTAGGCTTCACACCACTATGAATCACACATACACCTAAATTTTTTTATGTATTTCTTATTTAATTTTTCCAATTTTGTGAAAGATTTATGTTCTCACTTTATAGGCAAGAAAACCAAGTTATTTAGAACTAGTCCAAAGCAGTATAGCATGCAGAAAAGGAACTGGAATTAAACCCAGTCTTGTGATGACCTTAGAATTTATGCTCCTTTCATTATATTGCATTACATATATATATAGAGAGAGAACTTTGTAAATCTGCTGACCTTTAGCAAGGTAACATAATGTGGTTAACAGGAAATAGGCATAGAGCCAGACTACTCCTCTGCAGGTCCCAACTCCGGTAGTTACTAAGTGTGTGGCAGTGGACAGCAAAACTTTGTAACTCATTTCCTCATATGCAAAAAAAAAATATCATGTTAGAACCTACTCCCTGAAGTTACTGCAAGTATAAATGAGGTTTATGGAAGCTTTATTTTAAAGAATGCTTGCAAAGGGGAAGAGGCATTCAATAAATAAAAGTTATTTCTAAAAATCCAGTATTGGGGAGAGGACTACTACAGATGACCCATGGAGAGTGGTCATTGGAACTCTGATATTAAACAGCTTGCATTTTACACCATCTTGTTCTAATATGATGGATTGCCATGTAAGCTTATTAATAAGAAAAAGTATATATTTCATTTGATTTATGAACTGATAAATGTGGAAAAACTTGATAAAATCACCACACAGGTCTCAACAAGACAACCCTACTGCAGTGAGAAATGTGGGGGGACAAAATAGGCTCCTGGAGTGCACGTATATATAGACCTGGTAGAGTGGTGGCATAAGAATCTACCCTCCTAGCTGGAGGAAGTTTTTGAACAAAATGTCCCAAGGTTGATTTATTGTCACAGTCACAAATAATTGCCTAGGTAATTAGTTCTCAAGTGACTTAGTGGCAGTAATCTCTTCTTATCATGGACCCCAAGATTTCTCTGTCCTACTTCTTTATTTAGCTGAGGAACATTAAAGAGGAAAGGAAATGGGAAGTTTTGGGAAGGATAAATAAGTGCTCAATAGTCCAGAATAACCTGTCTCAGAATCCCTAAGCCTTGGAGCAAATCAAAATGATTCTGTTCTCTTTCTATCCCCCTGTTGTTCTTGGCAAGAATGCAGAAGAAGAGCCTATAGATGGGCCCACACCATCAGCTCTCTTATGAGTATATAAACTAGGGTTTATGAAGCTGGGGTTCCCAGCTCGACCTCTTGCCCTCTGTGATCTGGGCAAGTTCTGTGAAATATCTGGGCATCTGTATGTAAAGGCAGTGGCATCCACGATTCCTTTCACTTCTCACATCTGATGGCTCTATTCTCTTTTGCTCTTTGGGCCTGGAACTAGTATGGCCAATCCAAGAAAGCATCTAGTTCAAAAGATATGCAGATGACAGTCTGAGAGCCAGCAGCTACCCTTGCAGCCAGCTCAAGAGTAGCACTGCCTTAGAAGACATAGAAGATGGATGTTTCATCTTGACTTCTGCCCCTGTTTCCAACTTATCTTCATAATTCCCAGCCTCCTAACCATCACTCCTCTTCCCCTTCCCTACTGGAGAACTAAGTAGAATCAAAGGGAAATAGAGGAAGACTCACAGGCAAATCCTTTTTACTGTGATTTATTAAATTATACAATAGTGATTCCAGTCAGGAAAACTGAGTCGCTCACAGGAAAATACAATATTAAGAAAAATGCAATCCAAAATGTAAGCAGGGAAGATATAAAGAACTTTCTGTTTTTAATTTTAAACATGAAATACTCATTCTACATTCTCATTGTAGGTCAAATGTTCATTGCTGACATTTTTTTTGGAAAAGTTTGTGAACGTTTTTAAGAGGAATTTATTTGAGGATGGCATTTAACTCACTTTCTACTTAAAAGTCACATTAGAACAACTTTTAAGTAAAAAGAAATGCCATTTTAATAATTTCATGTAATGTTCCAGCGATGGGTGGCTACTTTAAATTTACATGTCAGTTATGTAAATGACCGTAAGTGGCTTTTCATTTTCCTAAAGAATGGTAAGTCATTTGAGATATCAATGTTAATGCAATACACATGTACTATTTATATAGATGAAAAGGAAACTACTTAGGAAAAAGAATCATTTGCTAAGATAAAAACTTAATTTTGAGACTTAGAATTAACTTTAACAAGTACTTTAATGGGAAAATTGGTGGTAAGAATACAAAATTATGGTTGCTAAGATTAGGCTGACCCTAAGAAATTGCACCCTTTGAACAAAATGAAGTGAGATTTGGTGGAAACTCTGAGTATTTTTTTTTTTCCTGAGTAGTTTTTTTAAGATTTATTTATTTATTCATATAGAACTGGGGTACAGGCCAGAGATGCGGAGGGTGAGGGGATTCACCAGAGACAGAGTGGGGAGCAGAACAGGCAGATCAACAAAGTACACTGCTGAGGGGAGCAGCGGGCGGGTCAGGAGAGGTCTGCCTTGCCATGTGGATCTCCCCCGGGGCAGGCTGGGATCGAACTCATGAGGAAATGGCTTAAGCTTCTTTGTGCTGTGCTTTTAACCCGCTGCACCACCAGGGAGGGCCCTTTCCTGAGTAGTTTTTAATAGTTGGATTATGTTTAGCTCCTGTTGTATATGCAAGACATTGACACTTCACAGTAACATACGACTGAAACTCAATATTTCTATATTGACATTTAGATTTACATTATGTGTTTTTGATTTTGCAGTGTTTTAGATGAAGTTTTAATGTCAGAAGAAAATACATCTAAGTAGAAGTAGCTTAGCCATTTATTCAGTATTGTGCATTTAGATGGTTTCCATAATGTGGCTATTCTAAACATTACTGTGTGAACATAGGAGTGCTTATATCCCTTTAAATTAGTTTTTATGTGCTGTAGGTAGATATGTAGTGGATTTGCTGGGTCGTATGGTAGATCTAATTTTAATGCTTTGAAAAATCTCCATATTCTTTCCACTGGGGCTGAACCAGCATACATTCCCACCAGTAGTGTATAAGGGTTTCCTTTTCTTCACACCATTCCCCAAGTGGGCTGCTTCTGGTTTTTTGATTTGGGCCTTTGTGAGTTGGTATCTCATTATGGTTTTGATTTGCATTTCTCTGATAATAAGTGATTAGCTTTTTCCATGTGTCTGTTGGCTGTATTTCTGTCTTCTTTGGAGAAGTGTTTAGATTTTCTCCCTTTTTTTAATACTAGAAGGAGAAATTATGATTTATTTATTTACTTACTTACGTACTTTCCCCCGTCCTTTTCCCTTCCACCTCCTTAACCTCAGAGTCCTAGGTTGTTTATTGATGTCCATTGGTTTCTAGAAATTGTTTTACATTATCAAGTTGTCTGTTCTGTAAATGTTCAGTACTTATTTTCATCATCCTTAGCTACTTTGCTACACACTTTAAAAAAAGGAGCATTTCATTTTTTCTTATCATTTTATAATAGTCAA